AATATTTTCCAAATACTCTTTCTGACTTACACCGGTGAATGTCGACATTCACCATGTACTAATGGTGAATATTGAACATATAAGAATATTATATTTCCTTCTCCGTAATTCATTCACGTAAAAACGCACTTGAGTTTCAGAATAAGAACTTAAGAACTTAAAACACACAGTACATTCAAAATGAGAAAGGAAAATAATAGAAGTTATAAAACTTACCAAATTACGTGATTCAAATCTTATTTATTGCAAAAACTTAAACTATTATGACACTTTGAATTGCACAAGAGGCCCTTGCTTTTACAACTGCATTTATTTGTGGAACACTTCCTTTTGGAATGGCAGCGTGTACATATACTCCTCTCTTTTCGACCTACACCAGAGCATATCTGTGATTGTCGACATACATCGGTGAGGGTCCGAATGTACAAGAATGTAAAGAAATATTCGATCTTTCACCGACGTATTTGATGAATGTTGACATTCTCCGGGAAAAGTCGACATTCTCCAGTTTCGGTCTTTCACGGTAACATATATATAACACCTGTATTAGTCTTCCATTTTTTCAAGGAATGCAGGTATACTTCTCAAAGTATGACCTCTTGCTTTGTCTTGATGACATTTCCCTCTTTGAAAGTCATTGGGATAAAGAAATGGAATTTATTCTGAAAACATCGGAAGTAAAAGTTTGTCTTGATAGCACGTTGAGTTGACTTTATTATTTTTTCTTCGCTCATCTTATTTTTAATTTCTTATTGTAAGAGAATCCCGCGACAGTCGTAAACCCCTCACTGGAACTTTATTTGCATTGACGGAACCAGGTTACTACATTTCTTTCTTCACTTTAGGTAATAAATTTACCTTTTTGATGAAGTTATTTAGGTAAACACAAGCTTTATAAGGGTCACAATATATTTTCATTTATCTCCTGCTAAATAGTTTTCATACAAGGTTTCACAAATAGTGAGCCACATGCCTCCGCAAAAGCTTATGAACGTTAGAATTTTTAGCTTCTTTAAGTTCTAAAGGTTGGTTTTTTGTTTTATATATTGTTTCTACAGATGTATTAAAAGACTTTGCAAATCTTATTTAACTTTAGAAGCATCAGAAACAGTACGTTCCTTTCTTTCGTCTTCTTTCCATGAAGAAGTAATGATTGACGATGTTTTCCTTTCCGATTAATTATGTTTCTTATTTTGCTCTTAAAAATTTTATACCATGGATTTCACAACGCTTTTTGAATTATGGAATTGAAGCATTTCTCTTCGGAACGCGGCGCAAAAACGTATCCTTCAATCCACAACTTATTTACATGTGACATTTTTAAAGAATAAATTTAAAAGTAGCAGACAATACTTCTTATTTCAAATAATAAGCTGTTGCCAGAAATTTTTATTTTCATTCCAAAAATTCGATTTTTATATTTTTATCGAAATCGTTCTAAACACGTGTAAACACGCTCTATATTTTACTTTTTTCATTCAATTAAGCAAAAGGAACTTACATTGAGAGTCAAAATGAAGCTTGTGAACTCAATAGTTAAGCTACTGGACTGTCAATAAAATGATATTAATAACTTTGAAAAATTGTATTCGATAGTTTATGTTGGACCAAAGTTTACAATAAACCTACATTTTTACATAATAAGAAAAAAAGAAATTACCAGTGTATAATTCATTAGCTTTTTTATCATCCTATATAACAAGTAATTCTTCATCTGAAAAACATGCATTATTTCTTTATAATATAATATTTTATGTTAACTAATGTGTGTTCTGCGCTTAATTTTAACACATCAAATTGCACTCTATGAAACTTAAGGGAGGAAGTGATAAATTGTTAAAATGTGTTACAGTCATGCATTTCATTTCTCTTTTACTATGTAACTACATTGTTCATTTGCTTTTCTTTTTATCTAAATGTATTTGTCTTTATAGCGTATTTGATAAATATAAATTTGACTAATAGTCTTTCATGTTCAAAAAGGTGTATTACATTATTACACTGGTGTGTAAAAATTCAGGACGAGACGGTTTTTTTCAATATAACTTTGTACAAAAGCTTTCCAAATCAACACATTTAATACCGTAAGATCCCCAATACGTAAGGACATGAGTAATGTAAGCAACACTTACTAAAAGAGAAATCAGAGGGATAAAAAGAAGCTTTATTGAAAAAGTAGCATGGAGCGCAATGAGACTGAAGGCCTAAACATCCCTGTGATGGGTGTCCAGCAAGAAACATCCGGTCTTTAATAGGGGATATGATCTCCCCTGACTGCTAGGCAGGTTTCACAGCGTCTGCCCATGCTGAGAATGAGGGTGTCAATGAGTTGTTGAGGCATTGCTGCCCATTCGTCTTGCAGCGCCAATCGAAGCTCCGGAATCGTTACGGGTGGTAAGGTACGAGCTGCCAAGCGTCTGCCTAGAAAATCCCATACATGCTCGATGGGATTGAGATCCGGAGATCGTGCCGGCCAATCCATACGTTCAATATCCTCACTCTCTAAGACCTGTTCAGCAGCTACTGTGCGATGACATGGTGCATTGTCGTCCGAAAAGGAAGCGGACCATAGCGCCTCTAAAAAGACGCACATATGGAAGAAGAATATCGTACAATAACGGGTCCCGTTGACTGAACCTGCGTCGAAGATGGGAAGGTCTGTACGACTACCAAGATGATGCCTCCCCAAACGAGAACACCGCCACCTCCATACCTGTCCCTTTCAATGATGTTCGATCGATTATTGCGGCTTCCCCGCTCTCTCCAGATGAGTATGCGATGAGAATCGCTACTCAGACTGAATCTGCTCTCATCTGTAAAGAGTACTCGTCCCCATTCATTGTTTCTCCAATTCCGGTGTTCCCGGCACCACAGAGAACGCCTTCTCCGATGGGCAGGCGTTAGAGGTACACACCGTACAGGGCGTCGTGCAAACAGACCACCACCCTGCAGTCTTCTGGCCACGGTAAAACGCGATATCTGTCGTCCAGTCGCCTGCGTCGTGTGTCTAGCGATTTCTCCCGCTGTCTGCCGCCTGTTTCTTCTGGCCTGTAAGGCAATATACCGGTCATCTGCAGGTGTGGTTCCTCGTGAACGACCACTACTAAACCCCCGGATAGCTGTTCCTGTAGTTTTAAATTGTCTCCAAAGTCGTGAAACGATGCTGTGAGCAATTCCGATCTCTGCAGCCACACTTGTCACACGGCGGCCTTCCTCCAACTTCCCAATGATGACCTCGGGTAAAAGCATCCAGATGTCATCTAACAGATTGATTATTCGCCATTTCTCGCCGAGGCAGCAACTCAGTGTGATTTTAACTGCTATACGGTGTGCAATCTCTTTGCCAGAAATACTGATCTTTCACCGAGAACATGCTTTATACAACTCAGACACTCCCCCATTATGTCTACCTGCATATCTGCGCAAGTGCTACCGTAGATCACCTTACTTAATCTCGGGATTGGTCTTTCTGTCCGCTCTGCCTCTTCGTTCAGCTGATATGCTAATTTTTCGACTTCGTCCTTAATTTTTGCACACCAGTGTAGTTAATCATTAATCTAAATTTAAAATTTATTGATGGGTAACAGAAATATAGTATATTGTACTTTATATTGCAAATATTAGGACATTTTATATTAGCGTTACCTTAGAATTGGTTTTATGTTATAAATGAAATAATTTCTCTTTAAAGATGGAATTCTAATGAATCTCTCACCTTTGAACTATTCTGTCATCAATGTGTTTAAATGTGCTGCTTTTACTGAAAAAAAAAAAATCTAATAATTTCTTTCTAATTTTGATTTTTCTGCAGTTTATTTAAGTGCTATATTTTCATCTAATTTTGTTTACCTGTCTGTTTGCACTTATATCCAATGTATTATAATAATATACCGATTAAATAAATGTCTTCAAAATTAATGAACAAAACGAAATACTTGCTAGTCACTGACGAATAAAAATTATTTCATTTTTCTCGACAGCAATAGACGATTCTCATTTAATCTATTTAATTATTGGTAGTATTTATCAATATTGGAAGTACATATCGCTATTTGATACACCAAATTAGTTTTGGAACAAACAAACAAGACACTTTGTATTTTTACTTAAATTAACAATTCACAATAGAAACATTTTTAATAAGTATAACCAATTTGTACAAGTTAAATACAAGTCTCGCCCACTGCAAAAGTTCGGTTATTTGATTAAATTGTTTTTTGTTTAGAAATATGTAGCAAATACTGAAAAAAATGTTTGGAATGCTTTTAAAGAAGATATATCGAAATAATCCTTATGAAATACGTTATCAATGCTTAACTTTTAGAGATCATGAATGATTAGGTATTCAAAGTTCAATAGATACTCTTAATATCTTAAAATGTAAGATTTTCAAAGATATTTAAAATATTCTAAATAACTCCTGAATATAAAGCCTAATTTGTATTCCAGTACAAAAATCTTGTTTGTTTCCAAATACTAAAGATGTTTTTGATGTTTTACGTTATATTGTTCTGAATATTTAGTTAATGTGCTTGTGTAATAAATAAATATATTCCGTACCTTAATCTTTAAATAACAAAATTGGTAAATTTGACTTGTTTCGTTCATTTTGACTTGTCCTAAATTTGACTTCAAAAAGACGTTTTTTCTTCTTGTTTTAATATGCCATTGAATAAGAAATGCAAAAGTGCTGAACTGTTGCGAAATTAAGTACATGCAGTGTTGCAACATGTTTATTTCGTATGATACGCTTCACCAATTTTTGTTTGTTCATTCACCTCTGTATTGTTAGCATAAAATTGGTTTTTCCCTGATCTTAATTTTATTTTCATAAGTCCATCGTATTCTCTTATTGCTCTGACTATTATAATTTTATTTGTGCCAAATAAATATTTAATACCTCACAGTATTCCTATTATTTGAAACTTTTAAAACGAATTTTTGTGAGTGTTTATTTAAATATAAAGAAATCTGCATAATCATTAAATTTCTGCAACTCATTTAAACATCAGATAATTTTTATTCCAAAACAATCTCCCACAAATTCAGTACTTCATACAACAGGAATATTGTAAGACTTACTGAAAAGAAATAAATAACTATACAAGAATACTTCAACTTTTTTTCCGAAATTGAATTGTTTCGTTACATTTGTACTATTTTATATTTCAGATCGGAAATTCTATAAATATTAAATATAACATTTTAGAGCACTCATAAAAACATTCGATTGTGCTAATGTTAATATCTTCTAAACCGGATATAATCAATGTCCTAAAATACCTTCAACGACGTTTCATAGATAAAATTCCAGAAGATCTAGAATTACGTGATGAAGGCAAGCCTGGCATTCCTGGCATGTTGGGTGGTGTTGGCATTCCTGGCATTCCCGGCATGTTAGGTTGTGTGGGTACATCCATTCCAGGCATTCCTGGCATGTTAGGCTGCGTAGGTACATCCATCCCTGGCATGTTAGGTTGCGTAGGTACGTCCATTCCTGGCATGTTAGGTTGTGTTGGCATGTTTTCCATGCCGGGCATTCCTGGCATGTTAGGCTGCGTAGGCACATCCATTCCTGGCATATTAGGCTGCGTAGGCACATCCATTCCTGGCATATTAGGTTGTGTAGGCACATCCATTCCTGGCATATTAGGTTGAGTTGGGACGCCCATTTGTCGTGGTTCAACTTCAAAAAGAAAACAAAAATACCTTCTTGTTCACTTTGCATCGCATGCTTAAAACTGGATATTTTCTCAAACAATTATGTTCAAAATGCTGACAAGAATTAAAATTTTTCTTATAAAAAGGAGTCGTAAAATTTGTCTATGCGAAAAGATGTAGTAATTAAAAACTGTTACATAGTAACAGCAATGAAATTGTCAGACGCAGAAAAACGATTTAGATATTGTTCCTACTTACATTCTTAATCAAAATCTTTTTATTACTTTACGCTATACTAATGTATGAAAACAAAGGGCCTTAAACACTTTAGTTGAGATTAGTTTAGGGTAATTGATATATTCACCCTTGTAAAGGTAAAGAATATTTCACTTAACATACACATTAAAATAAAATTTTACTATACAAAATATTATACTTTGAAATTTATAAGGCGAAAAGAATTCGATATGTAATATTTAAAAATTTCCAAATATGAGCTGTTAATATAATGCTGTGAAAAAACTAAAAATAATTTCTATAACTCATATTAACCTTCTGTAAGCAGATAAGAAACTGTAAGCCGAAAATTAATTAATTTCTGTAAGCCTATAAGAAACGTTACAGTTGCATATAAAGGCAAGATTTTAATACTATCGAAGTTAGGTAATGCTACTGTACTATAAGCATACATTGGAAAAAGCCTTTTTATAGAAAGGATGAGGATTTCTAAGTACGTAAATTTAAAAAAAAATTTACTAACTTTCCTTGAACACAGTTTTTACCTGACTTCCAGGAATTCCCAGGGGGATCATAAACTCTAACAATTAAACTGCCGAAGCCTGGATTCTTAACTTAGTCTTATTGTTCTTTCTTCATTTATTTTTGTAACTTATTATAATCGGTTAGAGAGATCTTTTCATTGCATGTACAAAGGGAAACATTTATGAGACATAAGTACAAGTTTTGCGAAAATGTTTAATTAATCTCTTCTGGTATATTAAATAGAAAAAATATGATAATTACAATATTTTAACATTTTTAGTAAACTTAATAAAGGAATTAAATTATCCCATAAAACTCTATAAAAATAATTCTTTGCTTGTATTGTATTTTATATTATTGCTAAAAATTACAGGGTAAAGCTGTCTCGGAGATGAAAGTCCAAATTGTATATTTACTTACTGGTGTTTTCAGTTTTCATTTGCTTAAATATGGAATGAAATCATGAAGGCTGATTTTTGCATAAGTATTTATAGGAAAGTTGTGTAAATAATTTTAAAATATTTGTTAGTAATTTTGAAATATATCTTTAAATATTTAGTATATTGTTTACAATTTATATTTTATTAAAAATTCAAAAATAATAATAATTCAAACGCTAGCTAAAATTTGAATAGCTGTTTCTCTCTCTCTCTCTCTCTCTCTCTCTATATATGTATATTATATATATATATATAATTTATTTCCTAAACAGTATTGATTAATTGATTATATTATCTCCTAAGTTTAATTAAAGTAGAACTTATTTAAAAGAGTGAATCCATACTGGTAAGTTATATTTGAAAGATGTTTTGAAGTAATTTGAAAGCAAAATGTTAATAATGTTTTAACGGGGACTGGAATTAAATCATCATGAAGAATAAAATTTCAATTGTAAAAGGAAAAATTTAAAACATGTAATCATTGTCATTGATCGGAAATTAGTTGACTTTTCAAGGGGGTATGTATATGCTGATTTATCCTATGATCGTCTTTAAATTATGGTCGGGTGGTTCAGAAAATTCAGTAAACTATAAGTCTCTATATTTACAAATCAATAGTTATTTATTACCTTCAGTTACAGCTTTTTAGAGAATAATTTTGAATACGATTTCGCTTCAAAATCATAATTTAAACATAGAGAGCCAGTAAATTCTTATTCAAATCAGAATCATATTCTATTTTCTTATATTTCTGTAAGCAAATGTGAAGGAATCACGTTTTACATAATACGCTCTCTGGCATTATTGTTTGACGTGGATATCTTACGAAAGTCAGTTCAAATTCTTATACGACGAATAATATCAGCTGAACACCTTACTTGAAACGGACTCCTAAGATTATTTAAAAAACAAATTGTAGAGTTGCGCTGTATTGATATACATATTTTTTAACTCAAAGTATACAAAAATAATGTACGATTACTTACATGCATCCCTTTTGTTGCCGCCAACATTAAGAACCAGAGCGCTGAAAACAATCCATCCGATGGCAGAAATAGAGAGAGCCATCTTGATCTAAATACTTAAAGGAAAGATTTATCAAAATGTCATGCACATAAAACAATGCTTTAAAAAATTTCAAAAAGTGCATTTTAGGAACAAAACGAATCTAAAACGCTAGGATCTAATGCTTGGAGTCGTTAACAGTCATCGGAATAACGCTCTTCGTTGCTTAAATATTACGAACGAAGTACCATTTTTATATGTTTCTGTAAAGATTCTTCTGCTTAAAATGCGCCAGTGAACAGTTATCTGCTATATCACAAAGTTCGCAAGCATTGAATAGCAAACAGTTATCTGCTATATCACAAAGCTCGCAAGCATTGAATAGCAAAAATTCAAAAGGTTTGATTGCATATTTTTGCAGAGTTTATGACCAATTTTTCAAATTAATTCTACTTATAATAGCAAATGTGAAGGAATCATTTTTTACATAATATGCTATCTTTCACTGTCGTTTGATGTGGATATCTTACGAAAGTCAGTTCAAATTCTTACACGACGAAAGTTATCTTTGGTTCAAGTGTGATGCAATTTGTATTTTGTAATGTAGTATTTTCTGCTTATATTATGTATTAAAGTTAGTTTGCTTTTCATTTAATGTAAGACAAATTCAAAATAGTCTGTTTTCTTCAATTATGATGGCTTATGCTTAAATATGTTTCGAATTTTATTTTTCAACAAGAGTAAGGATGGAAATGGTATAACAGCGTTAGAAAATAAAACATTTCGAGAATGAACATCTTAAGCTTAACATCCCTCAGTAAAATATCTGAGTATAAATAAATTGTTAAGTTAATTAAGATTTGAGTGAAAATGAAATTTGTGTTTTGTTTTAATTTTCTCTGCTTCAGTATCAAAAGCTTTTGTATGTTAGGAGGATAAATTGTGAATAGGAGTGTATAACTGACATTAATTTCGTCTGGGAATGCTAATTAAGTGTGAGGCAGTTATCCATTGTTTAGGAGGCAGTTATCCATTGTTACTTATAGTTTTTCATACTTTTATTAACTTTTACACCTTGCATCTAGTATGAACATTCTAAGATAAGAAGAGGGCAGACTGCAACATTTTGTAAAATTTCTCACTTTTTTACAGTTAATAGAACACTGACACTTTCTAATGAAATTATAGGTTTATATTCATTCTGCGCTCTTTCGAGCATTGTTTTGATTTTTAATTCTACGCTGTTCGGATTTTAATATTTAATAAACGTTGCATAAATTAAAAATTTTTATATTCGCATGAACTGAAATTTCTCCCACGTCTGAGAACACGCATCTTCGAAAGTATTCTAAAGCATGGTAAGTTTCTGAATATGAGCAACAAATTAATCATGCAGCATAAGATATGCAAGGAAAAATAATTTAGTATAAAAATAAAAAAGTATAAAAATACATTAAATTATTTTTTAATATTACAATAGCATTGAATGCATTTTTTGCAATTACTGTATGCAATTTGTTGAAATCTCTCAGATTAAGTCGGTAGCAAATACAGTCTGGCGAATACCTGTCATGTATTACAGAGTATTTTATGACATTAAAGCGTGCAGCGAAGTCATACAATTTTTGTGAAAACGAAAAGAAGGGTGTAATTTATGATAAATTAATTCCTGCTGACCATATAGCTAAGCAAAGCACCCACGTAAAATTTCAGGCATGAAATGTGAAATATCTTTCAGGTTACATACATGCAAATTTAAAGCAAGATTGGAGCGAAAGTGTTGATACGTGTTACTCAAATAACTACACGTTAATACGTGTTTTTTATTTTCAAATTTACTCTAAATCTACGGTTTTAACTTTACATAATGAGAGTATAAAATATTTCCCAAAAGCTTTTGAATGTTTAACAGAGGATAGCTTAGCATATGACGAATATTTTGCTTGATTAACTGAAGCTAAGCTTTGGTGATATATCATAGTATTTCTTCTAACATTCTTTTCTACTTACGATAAATTTCTTTTAAACTTGAATACGTTATAATTGAAACGAGGAGCAGAGAGAGGAGTCCATTGAATAGGACTATTTCACGCATTCAGTTAAAAATACTTATCCTTAACAACTAATTAAATAAGGAACCTAAGAACAGTAAAAAGCCACCATCTCCATTTTTTACTTCGAAATTCAATATGCATGATCCATTTACTAGTCGCCTTTTATAGCAATAAAGTTTACATTATTTTTAATACATGAAAGCTGCACAAAACATATTCTTGCATAAGCATTATTGATATTATATAGCTACTAAAGAATTTCGCATCAGGTGCTTTCATAAGAATTATGCTTTTCTTATTATTATGCTTCCTATCTGTGTCTATAGCATTTTAAATATGGTATACAATTGAATTTGATATGAGAGTTTGAAGACTAATGTGTATGTATATCCCGAATTCAGAAAAATAAATATAAGTTCTTAATATGCTCAAAAAAAATTTAATTATTCTTTAAAAAAATCATACTTACGTATTAGATAATTTTCTTGAAGGTAATACTTGGAGGGTTAATCCTCTTGAAGCGAACGTTTGATTCTTGCCATTCTTGCCAGAATTATCGGTATATATACTAAACAAATAGAACACTCTCTGCTATTATTTACGAGTAACTTCCGTCAACAATTGTGTTAAGAACACAGAAAAATCTTATCAAATCTTAGGAATTAGTTTCGATGCCTATGTGATAAATCTTCACTCGCAGCATCTGCAGGCACAGAAGAAATGCATTCAGATATTTTATGACATAACTTGTCATATTATATATAATGCTTTTTTTAGCTTCACAATGACAGCAACTTAGAAGAATTTAGCGGAAAAGTTTAGACTTCGCACTTGACGCAACTGCCAGTTTCTGGGATGGTATGAATAAACCGACGTGAATTAGGGTCATAGAGTGCAAAAAATTAACAATGCATAAAATATTTTGAACTACAGCTATTTTGAAATCTCAAACAAAATTCAAAATGTTTTAAGCTAAAACATACATATATTGAAATATGGATTGCATTAGAAAAAGCATAGTTTTTGTTTTTAAAAGAAGGAAATTAATAAATACTTATATCAGAAATCTTCTGAAGAATCTTACGAAGAATATATGCATTTTAATGTAACATATGATTGTATTTATTCCAAATAAATATAATTCACAAATCTTGGTGTCAAAATCATCTACATAAAATTTTGCATCTGCATAATAATTATTAGATAAACTAACAGTAACTTTCGAAACATCGGAAAAAACTAATTTTAGTTTAAAATACCTTCATAGAAAGGCGAAAACCAAATGGAAAAGGAACGCTTGCGTCTCTTTTAAATTATACATTTCAGTGCTAATTTATAGGTAAAATTTTCTGGAAAGAAAAGAACTAACTGTTGCTTCGTCTCAAAACGATATTCAATATATATATATGTTACGGTGAAACACCGAAATCTGGAGAATGACGATTTTCACCGGTGAATGTCAACATTCACATAGTCTCTTGGTGTATGTCCGAAATATTTTCCAAATACACCGGTCAATGTCGACATTCACATGTACTAATGTGAATGTTGAACATATAACAAATATTTTCTTTTCCGTAGTTCGTCGCAAAACACACTTGAAATAAAAATTAAGAACAGGAGAACCTAAAACACACAATACATTCAAAATGAGAAAGGAAAATATAGAAGTTAAAAACTTACTTAATTATACAGTACGTTCTAAATGAGAAAATAAAATAACAGTAATAAAAAACTTACTAAATTATGTGATTCAAATCTTATTTATTGCAAACAACTTAAACTATTATGGGCACTTTATGACCTCTTTTCGACTTTCACAGAGCATATCTGTGATTGTCGACATACACCGGTGAGGGTCGAAGTACAAGAATGTAGTGAAATATTCGGTCTTTCACCGACGTATTTGGTGAATGTTGATATTCTCCGGTGAAAGTCGACATTCTCCAATTTCGGTCTTTCACGGTAACATACTTTATATGTAATGATGTAGCAATTTTGATGGCGTAGCATATAGAACTGAATTCGTAGATGTTAATGAATAATGAAGAGCAAAATTGGCAGCAGAGGAAGATTAAATATTAATTTTTATTTCAATTGCCCTTTGCGACCACTATTCACTTGGCTCTTTAATTGCACCTATTCAAGAACACATACATTTTTAATACTGTTGGGATGGGAAGAGAGCATCGAGGCAGCGTCTTAGCAAAAACAGAGGTAAAAACATAAATATTTTCAAAGAAATGTCATACAAATTGACCTCTTAATTTCTGTCAATATTGTTTTGTGCACAAAACTGTTCATAAAGTTTATTTGAAATTAAAACAACTGCTATAAAATCAGGTCCCCCTTCCCTCCGAATTGTAAACACCTTGATACACTATCACGACTGCTAGTTCTTCGAATCTGTTTAGGAAACATGTAAATGTCTTGAAAGGAACTGGGAGCTTACTGGAAGCTATGTTCTGGGGAAATGTAGAAGAGATAAGTAAGATGCGAAGAGTTTAACTACCCTTTATTCTCCACGATATTACACGCGCTCCGGGACTTCGGGATACAAAAACCAACCACTTGTGGTTTGAAATTAAGAAACTAAGAACTAGTAGCTAACTAAATTTAAATAAGAATTAAACTCGAGTACTTTGCACAGATGATTAACACTAAGACTGGCTTTTCAGATTCGCTAGGACCTAGGGAAAATGAAATTCAGTGATGTCTGGTGGAACTGCGCAATTCAAAATTACACTGTGCTTTCAATCATTTTAATATCTGCCTAACACGTAGCTTCAGGCTAATCCGAGAATTACTTCCTGGGGCGCAGATTTTTATGGCAATGAGTGTGTACATTGCGTTCCTCTATAAAATCATAACAATGTGTCATATGCATTTTTACACGGACCCTTCATTTTTCGACAACTATTTGAATTAGTATTCGCTAAAGTAAACTTTATGCATTGCATGGGAAACGAGCAAACTGTCAGAGACTGGTATTCACAGAAATCATCGCAGATGAAAACGCCGCGCAGAAAGCAACGGAAAAAGATCCTTGCACGTATATTGTGGAACAGTAAAAAACGAGGAGAAACCTTCTCTCTAGAACAGTGTTTCCCAACCTTTTTTGTGCTATGCCCCACCTAATCCTCTCTAAAATTTTTAGCTCTCCCTAGCATATACATAGTTATTAATACTTAAAAATTGAATGTCCGAAGAACTTGAATGATAGTTTAGGAAGAAATGACTACGAAATTGTGAGCAACACAGTAAGTAACTTTAAAAACGTGGAGAGAACTCAAATTCAAGAAAAACACCTTTAGTGAAGTTTTCATTTTAAGTATTAGTAATTTATTCTTAAATTAGCGAGAGTCCTTCGCTTGAACTGCTGCAAAGAAATTTATGTCAGGTTCCAATTAGATAATTGAGTCTCAAGTCTTCTTTTCATTATATCACACCGATTTTTCTTTCTTTCTTTTTTTTTTTTTCTAGCGCAAATCATTTATGGCACAAAATCCGATTCAACGAATAGAGATGGAAACTGTATTAGTTCCTCGTGTTCATTTGGATATCTGATCTGGTTCTTCACAAAGCTATGTCATCGCTCTTTTCTAAAATAAAGTTTTATTGATCATCATTTGCATCTGCGGTTCTCGTTTTACTGCATATTTGAAAGCAGCAAAATCCACTAGCATGGCTGCATCATCAAGTGGGAAATCAATTTTTTAAGTACAAAATCTTTTAAATCAGCGATAATTTTCAGATGATCGACACGAAAAGTATAGCTAGTCACGTACATTTTGAGCCAAAGAGACTTTTCAAATTTTGGGGGGTAAATAGCTATGCCTACATAAGTCAAAAAGTAATGAAACCAATACTCCTTTGCCGCAAGTTACTTGCCCTTGAAGTGTTTATTAATATATTTCATTTTCAAGAGATCGGTTAATAACACAATGCTTGCTATCATCCGTTAACGGATTGTTCATTCAGGTTGTAGCTTATAAAATAATTAGAGTACAATAGTCCATAAATCTTTCCAAGAGTCCTTTTCAACAGCTTTTACTTAGGAAGTACAGTTGATATAGTATTCATTGGTTCTTCTAACAACTTGAAAGATGTACATTTGGCCCTGCGTAATAGCATTTATAACTTTATAACTAAATTTAGTACTGCATTTCGAACAGGCGAAGTGTTTTTAGCTACAGGTTTTCTCTGAATCACAATGCACAAGAAGCATTTCTGGATCTCATTTTATCAATTAAGCACCCTATTTCTTATTCCCGCTTTATTTTATTTTCAACATCTATTAGGGATCATCGCGTACAAGATGATATACTTTTATGGATATTTTTTATATTAAGTAATTAGTAGCTTAATAAATATCTTGGAGGGAGTGGTGCGTTCAATGATTTACAGAAGAAATTTTTCGGCAAAATTTCCTATGAATATTCTTACAAAGTTACAAGTACGGCCTCACTATCTCTCAAAGTTGGTTCATCCTTGCACCGAAATTTTTTCAGCTTTTCAACAAGTTGTATTTCAATATCCTCATTTAATCTTTCTACTGCAAACAGTATTGTTTATTTAGTGGCATAGCTTTAACGTCATTGTCATCTTTTTCTAGAATAATCTTTCATCTTTTTCTAGTTTTAAATGCTGATATTGATGGTTTGATTCAATTCTCCCCTATAGTACGGCTTTTCCCGGTTAAGCGCTAATGAAATTTGATAAATAGCCTCAAGAGCATAATTAACAGTTGCATTGTAGAGACATTAGGATAATTTTTGGAGCCCGGAGAGATGAAAAATTAACAACGCCTTCGCCGGGAATCAAACACGGCTCTGGAATACCGGCCAGCGTGCAAACCACTACACACGAAGGACGCTTGGAAGGGGAGAAATACCTTATATACCCTTTTTAAAGGGCGACTAGGGTTTTAGGGGACCTAGTGCCAAACCTGGGTGTGGAGAATCATCATCCACAACCCTTTTAGTTCGGGCGCCACTGTAGAGACATTAGGATATTTTTTGGAGGCCGGAGAGATGAAAAATTAACAACGCCTTCGCCGGGAATCGAACCACGGACCTCTGGAATACCGGCCCAGCGTGCAGAACCACTACACCACGAAGGACGCTTGGAAACCGGGAGAAATACCTTATAGCATTTTGAGCAGTAAATAGAGACTTTAATATTGCTCTTTTTTCAAAAATTTTCCTTAAAGTGTGAAAATAATTCAAATCTGAATTAATATTAGCATTATGTTTCGCCTTCAAATGTGCCTCAAGACGACCTAGTTTCATTGATTCGTCGGTCAGGCATTATTGGCATAAAATACAAAAGTTGATGAACCGGGTATGAAACCAAATTTTAAATATGCCTCCGAATACCGTCCAATACGAATTTTCTTGCTCTCACCTCTCATTTCACTAAGGGCTGAAAGAAACAAATATAAGATCAATATAAACAAAGCTGGAAGCGGCTGCTGTTGCCATTCAAGGGAAGAATAATATACCAGTTGCCATTCCTACAGTAATAAATAAAATTAATTCGTTGGCTGAAATGTGCGAGAAATGTCTGAAAAGCATAATGTATCAGTTACTT